GATGAGTATAACCACTCAATGACAAGTTTTACTTAACCTTTACAGTTACATATTAATTATAAATAGATGCAAATATGCACATAATACATATATCACATAGTATTGAACCACGGTTCACAAAACTAACAACTACGTGACCAGACTTGCCACAAAATACTATATCATGTTGTTTTTAAAAACATAACTTAGAGTTGCAAAAATAACAACCATGTGCCCTTAACACGCGCCGGATCACAAAACTAACAACCATATGGCTGGACTTATATGCACGATTATATGCTAACCTTATATCCTGCTGTTACCTCTAACACAAAACTAGTGGCTATCACGAGACTACGTCCTTCACGGATTAACCCAGCCTTTCACTTGTGAGGAGCTATCGGGCTAGGGTTAACTCACTCACTTATGTAATTTGATTTCCCCCAATACTAATAACCATAGGGTGTCGTACACCTGATCTAGCTTCTTCACGAACCGGTGAAGATTAGTTAGGTTCGAGTCTCTCATAGAACAAGTGGGACAGTCCCGAAACAATCATGGGACAAGGGTTACCTCCCAATTCCAATGGTTGATACTAAGGCTAGTTTCCGATTCCAACAGTCACTACCAATACCATATGAATTTCAACCAATTTACTCTTCTCCCTAGGCGAACTTCCGCCAATAATCGTGCTATGTACATTTCACATATAATATGCATTTAACAATCTTTCCTCAACACTTACACTCAAATGACACAAATACTTCACAATTTAACACTTAATTCATCACAATTCTCCACCCATAATAATAAATCACAAATAATTTCACAAAACATAAAGGGTGGTAAAATCAAAGTTTTCTCTTCTCTAAAACCATTTCACAAATTAAGTATTTGCTAATATGCATCATCAATTTAACTCATAAATTACATTTCATAAACAATTAACATTCAACTATAAAAATTAAGTTTTTCCCTGTTATTTCAAACTTTTGAGAGGTCAAAAGTTTACCCCTCACTATATCAACTTTCCAAAGATTTAACAAGCTCGAAAGGTGCCAAGACGAACCTCTCTACAATCAAATTATAAGAATATCATCATCATCTAGCTATTTAAGCTCTATCAACATAAAACTCTTCATACACTATTTTACCAACTTATAACCACTATCCATCCATACCCAATGGGCTCATTAGATTTCATAAATGCACATTGTCATTAATAGCACCTTAAACCATCATTAATGCACATTAAACTCTCAACTACCTCATAAATACCAATTTTTAGACATTAAATGCTCCTATGGACCAACCACTTTTAAAATCATCAATGCGGTGTTCCAATATATTAAATCGCTCCCATTAATCTCATTTTAACCAATAGAATCGGACTCATACTCCTATAGACTGAAAATCCATCTCCCAATTCAAATCCTATCATGAATAATCATAAATGAGGGAGAGAAAGGAAGGAGAAAGCACCATGATCTTACTTGAGTGTTTGGGAGCTCCAATCTATCAACAATGGGACCAAAAGTCGTGCCCTAGCAGAGCTAAAACCAAGCTCTTCATTTTCCTCCTCTTTCTCTCTTATGTTTTCGTGTAGCTCACAAGCTGATTTATTAGATTTTTGGTTGTGTGTCGCGGTGCATGATACCCTCCACCGCGGCGCATGGCACAGAAGAGCCGGTTACGTTCAAATTGTGTCCGTGTGCTGCGGCAACCAACCATGTGCCGCCGTTTGTGGCACAGAACACAACTCTTCATTTTTTCGTCCTCTTTCCTTGCCCAGGTGGCCTGCCATCAATCCGGACCTATTTTTAGGGTTGAAATCACATCAATTATGCCAAGTTCAGCCCCTTTAACCACACACCTCATTAACTCACTAACTACCCTAATTAAGTTAATAAATCAAGGTTAACATTTTTTGAATGTTACAGAGTATCCACGTTAGTACATGTATAGTTGGTTTGTAGATGGTCCCAAGCAGCCTTCTAAAGGAAGTATTTAATTTTCTCACAGGTGGGCCATTTTCAAATCTTGGACTCAATATTAGAGCGATTTTGATCTTTTTGAATCTCTAAAGCTTTATAGGCATATTTGATTGAGAAGTTACCATCAGAGGAAGCTCTTTATATAAGAGCGTCTTCATCACCTTGTTAGTCAGGAGAATGAAAAAGTGCAATCTATCTAATGATCTTAGGAATGGAGGTAGCATTTCATAAGATCAAAATTCCAACCTCTTGTTGTGTTGCTGAAATTCGAGACTCGTGCATAAAGAATAGAGTCAATATTATGGGAGGCATATCTGATAAGAGGATCAGGGAGGGGGCAAGATTTTCCATCTTTAATTGTGCACTCACTGATCTCATCATCCTCGCTGTTGTTGCCAATACTTATCATTCCTAAAGTGGAATAACAGATCTTTTTTATGATTTCTCTTTGGATGGAGCCAATCCCCGTTGTGCTTCTGTAAAACACCTTTTAAAATGCTCTCACACATTATAGTGGTCGCGTCGCATGTAAAATAAAGTGATGGCCATGCCTACATGTGATGACATTATGAACTTCCTTATTGAGTGTGCTCACACTGACAGAGAGGCCTAATTGGAAGGCAGCCTTATTTCGAGATAAGGGGCATATAATTTTCTTCTTCTTGTTTTTTTTTTTTGCAAATTAAGTTTATCCCGTCATTAATAATACTTATAGAATCTATATAAAATGTAAACCGCGTGAAATATTTCAAAGGTAAACAAAAAAAAAAAAACAGAAAAGGAGCAAGCAAAATAAAAGGAGGAGCGGTCACGTTTCAATGTATACGAGCCATGATAATTTAAAGATCCGTGTTATGTGTTGAAGTAATTTTTGTTATTAGGATTTAGGGGCATCCTGGAACATCCGGGTCAGAATATAGCTTTTAAATTAAGTTTCGATTTAGTGGATATTACCAAAAGGACCAAGGACTAAGATGAAGCTGCAAGCAATGATAAAGAGACCTGGAAATTGGAATTATGGCTCGGTGGAAATAAGTAAATACTCATATTATCTTATTTACAAATTACTCCCAATGTATCTTATTAAAATCAGGAAAATTTTTAGAACTCATTAGTCCGATTTAAAAATTTAATAACTTCTTAACTTTAGTTCTATCATATATTTATATTTTTAATAACATATTTTCTTTTATCAACGTTCTAACGGAGGGTAAGAAAAAAACTATGATAAAATTTAATAATGTGATTTGTAAATAAGATTAAAAAAAATTCTTTTTATTTTATAAATAGATTCTCTTATTTTTACCAAATTATAAATAGAGTCAAAGGAAGTACTTTGAATCTTAAGACTTGTGGCAAATAGTACTATTTTGTTAAAGTTAAAATCCTAAAATTTGAGCACATCATAGTTCTTTTTTCATGTCTAATAGCACCCCCCAGAAAGTTAAAATGGGTCAAGTTATTACAAAATACACTGTCTTTAGAGTTATAAATAATAGTTTTTAATGTTAATAAATCATCAGTATGCCAATATAAATACTATCTTCACATCACAATATAATATATTTTTTAAAATATTTACTTGGTCCAAAATATAAAGTGTTAGATAACTTTTATAATCATTTTTTCAACTATATTCTCACTTTATTTATTATTATTTTTGACAAAAATAATGTACTTGAATTTTAATTGTTATTATCAAAGTACTTATATAGGGTATTTAATGAAAGTAAAATTGAAAAGATATACATTTTTTAAGAAATTAAAGTTTTAACTAATATTTTTTGAGAACCATAAATCAATTACCAATACTCTATATTTTAGCATAAAGGGAGTATATCATATAAAAATGGGTTGATGAACATATATAATCATAAATTATCATGTGAATAGCATTTTGGATTATGAATTTATGAAATGTGTAAAAATTCTTCTTAATTTTTAAATTTTGAGGGCAAAAAATTCTACTATTAAGTTAGAGAAAACAATCATTATTTTCAAAGGTTAAAATAAACGTCACATTAGCATGTGACCGAGCTTTATAATTATAAAATTAACATCCATTTTCTTTAATTTAAAGGTGAGGTTTTATATGTTCAAAATTTAAAAATTAATTTTTTTTATATATTTTAAAAATTTAAAATTTAAATGCTATTCACAAAATAGGTCAGGGTTACTATGGTCAGCAACCCTGTAATCATAAAAAATCATAATATTTTTAATTTATTGCTAATTTAATTCACCTTAGACTCGTGAAAAGCCCTGCGACCACAAACGAGCCCGGCTGAATAAAGTGACACAAAAAGTGAATTTTTGTAACTCTAGATGACAAGTTGGAAATTTTGTTGGTCAATTTAGTATTTGTTTTCAGCCTCCATAAACAACCAGTAACAGGGCCAGGGGCCGAAGTTAATGGCTATGTATTGCATAAATATAATAGTTTTAAGACTCTAGCTACGGGTCAAGACAGGCTAATTTTGAAAAACAAAGAGGCAAGTTTTTATACATTACTATTTCCAACTGAAGGAGGTTTTTTTTTTTTCTCTCTTTTTTCTCTTTTTTGGTTTGGAATTTGGTCCTTTTGTAAATAATGCAACGAGCAAGCGGAGGAATTATTCTCCAAAAAATATTCGTTGCAAAGAAACCCATGACGGTTCAAGTTTTATCCTTCCTGCCAACCAGCTCCACACACCCACGCACGGCAGAATCCAAACTTCCGCCCTCCAGAACCGTGCCCATTTGCCAGGGCCCAACAGAAGGACACGAAAGCTGCCACTTCTCTTTCATCTCACAACTCTTCACTATTTCTTTACTTTTTTATGCGCTGACTGCACCCTCCCCAAGTAGCAGCCCCTTCCACCTCTTAAATGCTCTCTCCCAAATTTCACATTGGTAAGCAATATTATTTTTGGTCTCCTTTTTTCACGTTCAAATGTTACCGTTGTTATTATGACTGTATACACTGGGATCTACTATGAATGCAACACGCAGAAATATCAAGGATCCCGGAGTGCTTCACAAATAAAGTTGTTCAGAACAGAAGAGCATATATTAGAGGTAGAAGAAACTACGACTAAGGTTAATGAGAAGAATACATGGCAGCACTAGAGACTAGAAGAGACAGAAATATACATATAAAAAAGGCCGGAATATGAGCGGAACTTTCTGAAACCCTGGACCCTATCCCGCTGGAACTGCTACCGGTCACCGGTTACACATCCTACGATTTTGTCACATTCTTCTCCGAGCCCTTCTTTTCTGTGTCCCCCATTTCCACTTCCAATCCTTCTTTTTCAAGGCTCCCCTTCTCTACATCCTCCTTCATTGGTTCCTCCATCACTCTTCCTTTCCAGTATTTGCAATGCAGCACCAGCTGGAGGATGCCTAGTGGAAGCCCAATCACGCTCGGTCCCTGTCAAAAAGATCAAGTTCCAGACACACAGGTTAATTCAAACTTGTCTTGTTCTCGGCTTTAATATCAACAATTCTCAACTCAGAAGGTAAAATACAAACCGCAACAAAAATGTCCCTGATGAGAAGTCCGTAGGTCATCCAGAGCGAGCTGGCTAGGAATGAGCACAGCGATAAGGGAAGGGGCATGAACTCCACGCTCTTGGTCTTTATAACTTTCTTCTGCAGTAGAGTAAATTTAATCATGTTATGAAAGGCTGAGCAGGGCGGAGAGACAAAAAAGACAAAGTAGTAGTGGAGTGGCCTTGCAAAGACGCTCCTCCTTTTGTTTTCATTTTCAGTCTCTATTTTGCTTTTTCAATAAATGCGAAACAGATTATAATAATTGAACTCCTATGTTCCCCTGTTTTGGTTTTGTTTGCTTCTCCCTGTTTCTGCTTGGATGTAATTAGGAGGACAATTTTGGGTGGAAGACAAAAGATGACTCACCATCACAACCAAAGGAGAGCCGTACATTGCTATAGAGACCACAAGACCTATGCTGCCCACGAGTAGCTTTCGATGACGATGGTCGTGGAAGGCAAAAGCTGAGATAATAGCAGTGATGCAGAACACTAGCAACACTGGTATAGCTGTCATGGCTACCTGCACCTGTAATGGAAAATCACCTTCAGTAACCATATCTTTTCTCCACCTGTACTTAGCATGCCCAAGCATGTGCGCAAGGTAAAGATGCTATCTTGCTGGCTGCCAACTTTTGTTTCTGCAGTCCTTGATGCAGGACACTCGTAAATGATGCCTCGCGCGCAAATAATCTTGATCATAAATTTATATTCGGAAAGTCACTCCCATATTATCTTCTTCCCGCAGGAAACGATCTCATAAAAAGAACATCAATCCCCTAAAAACAGTTATTTAGGGGGGCTGATGAAAACTTTCTTATGTATCATCTTTCTTTTGTAGCTTACAGAATAGAGTAAAAGAAAATGGGATGGCTTTTGGGCATGTTCCTTTTGCTGTAGTGTTTCTTGTTTGGGTTAAGAATGAAGGAAGAAGTTTGTATGGAAGTTAGAACTTGCCTTTCCTTTGGCCGTAGCATACCAGAAGTAGATGAGAACATAAGATAGCTCAAGGGCGATCCCGACGCCATTAACGGTAACCAGAGGGAAATTTTCCCATTTGCAGCTCACAACAGGCAGTCCATACCAAGTAAAGAGGAGACAGTTCAACAGCCCGATGATGTAGGGGATGCATGGGAACTCCTCTGTGCTTTTCTTCCTTATGACCCTCCCAAAAGTGACCCTGAAGAAAGAAATCGTAAAGGAACAGTCAAGGTTTCACATTCTTCAAAGACAGGAAGATGACAGATGAGAGTAAAATAGCATAGCATACGTGGGAGCAGCGTAAAGGGAAATTGAGGCAGCATTCCCTGCAAGAAGAACCCAGACGGTTCACTTTCTTGTTAAGAAGTCACATTTATCAGTAATGCTAAGGAATGAAGGAATGAACAACCAAATACCAAGAATGGCGACGGCCATGCGAAGGGTCTGTGCCATCTTTAGTTCTCTTCAGTCTCTAGTAAAGATGAGGCGAATAATGTGCATCTCCAAGGAGAGCCATGAGGTGCTATATATAGCAACTCGGGGGTACTGTTCAGCAAACAGCCCTGCTCTCGATGATGTGGCTTCCATTTTCTAGAGATATGGGAATTTATTAGACAAGTCTTTGGCTTAAGGCTAGTTTTGGTACCACATAGAGATAAAAATAATCTCAGATAAATGACAATTTTGGGTGGAGGGTAAAAATTTTCATTCAAGCATGTTCTCGGGGTGTGACAGCAAAAAGTTTGTGTCCCCGACTAATTGCCTAGGTTCCATCTCGTAGCTGAACCAATCCCAATATGAACATTGAACGAAAAAAGAAGATTCTAATCAGATCACATATCAGGGAGAAATTAAGTCGTCCTATGAGCAGAGAAGAATATGGAATTTTTTATCATATACTCCATCACCAACAATTCTATGAACGTTTGGAGAAGAATTTTTCCCCTGTTACGTGGAATAAAATTCATCTGACGGCAACGGGATTTGTGGCTGGCATTTAATTTGAAAAATGAACATCTGGATTTTTATTCCTTCAGTTACCAGAACAGAAGGAATTGAATTATCATTGATGCATCATGTAATTATTATAAATGGTAAGTCTTGAACCAGGCGTGGAAATCTTTACTGAGATCTGAGATCTTATTCTTATTGGGTGGCCTGTCAATAAGTTGTTTGAACTGAGTTGCTAATTGCCTTTGACAGACTGGAACTTCAATAGCCTCATCCTAGAACCCAGCAAGAGGTTTCTGATGCTTCTTACATGTTTGGTTCTGCGTGGCTGATGCTGTTCAAGTAGGCGGGACATATGGAATCTTATATAATAATGACTCGAGTTGTAATCTGGTTCATCCAAAATCATATCATCTCCGTTCGTTTCGGATGCAGCTGGATGGAGCCTAGAGGGTCAAATTAATCTGCAACAACACTTACTAGTTATTGTTATATTGTTAACATTGTGACTATTTGAATTGAATGATCGAAGAGTCCAGATTGCAGGCTTCGCTGATTGATGCAGTATACTCACCCACTGATTAACAAGAGTGAAGACTGCTTTTGTTCTGCTTTCAAGCAGGTTTTTTACACACGCATATAAATATAATGCATGCACATATACAAATTCGGTGTGCTCTATGGATGGATCACCAACGAGCACAGTACCTTGTAGAGTGATCCTTATAAGCAGATAGAATATGTTCTCGAGTTGAAAGAAATTAAACGCTAGGACGCTCTATGTATAAATAAGATGCATTTCTGGTTTGTGTTTCATGTCCCGAGCGCATAATCCTCCCCGATGTTGACGTACAAGCTAGGGCACTGCCTTAATTAGTACATGCATGAGGCTGCAACGCAAAGAATTGCAGGTATTTTCCGAATAACTTCTGCGAGCACGACCCGTCACCGTCAAGCCTGGCTAGCTAGCTATTAAGAATTAAAGAATTAATTCCATTATTCTTATCATATCATCTCCTTGATAACGCATTTCCTTTCGATATATCAAATTATGGCTAGTTTTTCCCCTCCTGTTATCTCCAGATTCATCGCGTTGAATTTTCAATTTTACAGCACACGGGACGGCCACGAGACTACAAAGATGATCGAAATACTAGTTGGAGAGTGGGAATAATATTATATGCGACAAAATCTTCTTCTTCTTTTTTTTTGCCATTTGTCCTTTTCTCCAATGAATTGCATTGGAGCATTGCTCGAATATGCTTGTTCATTTTTGATTGTCCATGTTACTCAAGTTTTCCATTAAGCTCCTCCAGTCCTTTCCTCTGATGGAAATCTTTCCAAATTTCCTGTAATTAATCTCTACCTCACAACAACCAGCCTAAGCATATGTGGAACGGAAATTATTTTAAAACAGGTTCCATCATTCATATTTATTATACAAGGCATAGTTTTTTCCTCTTTTCATGCATACGTGTGTGCATTCGTTGGAGTTACCTTAAAATTTAATCCAAATTTAAATTAAATCTGTTCCTGATGACTATCGCGATCTTGGGGCCGCCTACCCTACAATAATCTCACATTCACAGAGGAATGAAACCCAGATCAATAGAAGAAGATGCCATCTCGTTTCATGAACTAGCATAATTTGGCTGATTCTTTCCTTGGAATATTGTTTTTTCTCAATTTTCAGAAGCCAAAGTCTCCCCCCAAAGGGGAAAAAAACTTGTTTGGAATAAATTAAGATCATCTAATGTTGGCCCCATGACGAAGCTGACCTCTCATCGAAACCCATTCATTGTATTTTTTTAAGATGAATCAGCAGCCACTGACCTAAAAAATGAAACTAACCAAGGGATCAATCAATTATTAAAATATATACTTCTGATATTGAAGGGGGAAAAAGGCAAATTAGACGAAATGGCTAGTATATATTCCCATGCAGTGGCAGGTTCGGTCGAGGAGTCGAATGCAGGGCAGGGAGTGTGACGTGGCAAGATGGTTGGCATCCACAAGAAACTGAGGCCTTTCATTATTGGCAAAACTTATCAACGAAGCTAAATCAAGTCCTGCTTCAAAGGGTCTACTAAGATTTCCATGATGGAGCTGAGCTCAACATTAATATTTGGATTATTGATCTTGTCTTCCAAATTCTATGACGCCCTTTGAGTAAGGGCCCGTTTAGTTGAGAGATTTCTTTTAAATGAAAATGAAAATGAAAATAGACAAGCAAAGGGAATGGAGATAAATAATAAAAAAATATTTTATACGTGCAAGAATAAAAACAAAATATTTTACTCTGATGGTATCGTGAGCCGTAAAGAGCGAGATTGAGGGGAATTGAAAATAATTTAAAGCAGAAAATAAAAAAAAAACTAAATTACCATCCTTTTCCAGAACATAAAATAAACTGGTCGCATGTATAGTTTTGCAATTTTAAAAGAATTTCACAGCGTGTAACAGTTTTTCTTCTTCAAACCAATCATTTATGATAATAATACTTTCTCCAATCCTGTTATAGAGCGCCCTCTATAAGAATTATTTGGCTCTTAACATAAGGCATTTGATGGAGTATTAATTTTTTTTTTTTGCAATACTATCCCATCTAAATTCATTAATTATGAGAAAAAATGTAATATAAATTTAATTTTTTTTAAGTAGGGGATAAAATTAAAAATTTATTTTATCTTAAGATAAAGTTAATTAATAACTTGATCACTTTTTTTTTTTTCAAATTTTGAAGAGGTGTTATTAGTGGCTCAAAATTAAATTGGAGGCAGTATGCGGAAATCTTATATTCCCTGCTTTTCACGTATGGAATCATGGAATTCTGTATCTTTCATATTAATATGCCCGGTGACCTTGCCATACAGCCTGAGTATCCGTCCAAACCGGTGAACCACGGTCACTCCCAATGTCCAAAACACTAACCACGCACCCATCATAGCATCATCTGCCGTCAATAAATTATTTTTTCGTGTTTTTCTAATAGAATTTAAAAACAAAATTTCAAAAGGAGTATTACAACTCCTTCTAAAAAAAGTTAATACCAAATTAATATTTTTTTAAAAAAATCAATATTAAAATATGAGAGGATAAATATTGAATTAAAAAAATATATAATTTTAAGTTCTTTACTTTGTTCATGTTTTGCGATTAATCCTACATTTTTTTTCAGTATTTTTGATCCTGCACTTTTATTTTTTATTGTTTTATGTCCTCAAAAGTTTCTATACTTTATTTATAAAAGAATCTAAAATAATAAAAAAATTATAAAAATTAATAACAAAATATAATAAAATATAGAGTTTAAAGTTATATTTTTTCATTAAAAAACTTAAATTATGAAGAGATTTTAATTCGTTTTCTTCCGTAGTTATTATAATATAATCTCGCACCCTTTGATCAACTGTTAATTTGTTTCCCTCCCCGTGACAGTTCATTAAATCCGCATACCGTATAGGGTTGCGTCTCTGTTCCCTCTACAGACGAATGGGAGCTGAGGGCTTTGGCATAACGGTATTATTAGTCTGTGTCCCTCCCCCATCAGTCATCACCATTTTCTAATTTTCACGGTGGCAATACCATGAGCTCGCGAGGTTATTACAGTGATTAGACTGCCTCGTGATTAGGAATAATGGGGAGGTAGAGGCCATGAGAGATGAATAAATTAAGCTGGGTTTTGCACTCAAGAAGCACAGAACTCGGTTGTTAAATACACTTTTAGATTCTATTTATAAACAGAGATAAAAGATATTTTTATCCTATTTATAAATTATTTTATTAAAAAAATTTCATTTTACTTTTATTGAAAATAAAGTTGAAAATTTATTAAATATTTAAATAAAGTTAGTAAATTTTAAATTTTTCTTAATTTCAATAAAAAGTGTTGCAAGTATATCATGAATAGGATTATAGGAGTAAGTTCCATGGACATGTGTCCGTTAAATCCATCGTGCTGGTCCTTTTCAATTCCAATGTTGCTACCATCCCAACAAAATACACATCCACTCAGCTCATCACTCACCATCACCAGGACTTCATTTTATTTTGGTCCACACATGAATTCATGCCATCTTACATTAATGTTTATATTTTTTTAATTATAATTTAACCAATAAATCCAGTCCAAAAAACGAACGAAAGGCGGAAATTATCTATTTGATATCAGATTAGACTTTTGATACATTTCGCGCGCGCGCCCGCGTGCATGTGCTCATGTATATCAGCTTGCTGTTGCTGCTAATTACACATAATGAGCAGTTGGATCTAGTGGCTCAACGTTTGTTTCTCTTTAAGTGATTTTTTTTTACGCCAGTTATAATTAAATAATGCAACATAACAAAAAGTAAATAAACTAAGAAAAGATTAAGAATAAACAGATTTGGATTCTCTCCATGTACTCTCTCAATACCTTCTTCTATACGCAATTGCATTTGTCCCTTTGATTATTTATTTGATTTAATATATAAGATTGCTGATTATGATATTAAAATAAATATAATATTCATTTATATTAAAATAAATATAATATTATTTAATGATCGTTACTATAAAGAAGTATTATGATATTATTTTCAGCAGTATTTAAGTGATGATAATGAATTATTTTAATACTATAATTATCAATCTTATACCATTAAATCAAATAAATAATTAAAAACAGA